CTTTTTGTGAGAAACAATAAAGCTTTTTAGATAAATGTATCCTTTTTAAGTTTATATTTTTATTTCTGAATGACTCATGCATATTAAACTCAGAAGAAAGTAACACTAACATATAAGTGGGAAGTGAGAAATGCGGTTATGTAGAGATCTCTCAACAGTGCGTGTGTGTGTGTGTGTGTGTCTGTCTGTCTCTCTCTCTCTGTGTGTGTGTGTGTGTGTAACTGTAAATAACCTGCAGATACATGAAAAGTTGTTTCCTTTTACAACATTTGAGGCCATATAGGAACTTTTTTGGGCAGCAGGTGAAGGTCATATAACATCTATAACATATAAAATTTGACTTTGAAATTTTTGACTGACTTTGAACCCACAAAAAAACTTTGGAAATTCTTTTTTTTTCGTCTTGGGAAAATATAAGTAGCTTACACCTCTACATTTAGTACCTGTATGGCCCTCTTCATCAGAAAATTACTATGTGTTTCTTATAATTGTCTATACGTTTTATTTTATATTTGAAATTGTCTATGTGGACTGTTGAATTAATCTTTAATTTGCAATATTACTGTTTTAACTGTATATGTGATAAAATAAATGCTATGTTGGTGCTATAATGGTAAAAATTTAAATTTGCAGTGTAGAGAGAGGAAGGAGAAATGTTATGTGAAGAATGGCAGACCTATACATGTATAGTACCTGTTAGAAATTCATTTAAAGACCAAACACATGTATAATAAACCATAACATAACTTTTCCCTAATAGAAAGTTTCCGTATAACCATTTTAGTAGACTATCTTCCTAAAACAAATGTCTTTTAGTGGTTTCAGTCATGCAATGCGTTTTTGCAAAGAAAGCGTTTCCTCTGTGCCTTCATCGTGAGAACGGCCTAACATAAGCAACAAAAACCACATCCACCCCATTGTGACTGTCAAACAGATCTCAGAGCTCCTCGACTTCCTGTCTAACATGGAGATGTCTAAACCGTGTGTCGTGACCTCAATCCGTAACCACAGGTGCTGTTGCTATGTTGCTCATGCTGTAAATCCTAACACTGAAAGTCAAAAATGAGTACATTTAACTTAATTTTAAAAAAAACTTAATTTGATATTCACTCAAAAACTGCAATGCATTAAGTAGAACTTAAACCAAATAAGTTATGAACAACCGATTTGTTATTTTAGCTCTAAACATTTAAGTTGAATTTAATCTAGTTTATGTTTATGGTTGAAAATAAAATAATATTAAAAGTAAATTAGAAATCAGTGGGTGGGTTTACAATTTTTGGGGCTTTCTAATTTATTTTAAATTGTATTTTTCAAGAAATCACTTTTGTGTAAGGCCTATAATTGTATAGTTTTCATAGCTCATTAAATAAACACATAAATAAATACATTTAAAGTTTTCAGCTTCATACGAAGCCTACATTTAGGTCTCTTCACGGCGTTCTCAATCACGCACCGGAAAACCCCGCGTATTTATTTCAATCTGCCCATGACCCCCACAGCTCACGGAGTAACTCGGATGGCGGCCATGAAGAGATTTAACATTAAGCACGGCACCTGCTTCATCCTCTTTAGAGCACTTTTATACGTTTTATCGTTGTATTGTCGTGACTCTTCATCTTAATAATAGCCTAATAATAATGCATTTTATTTCCAACGCGCTTTTCTTAGATTTAAAGCGCTACAATATACAAAAAGAGAATAACAACAATAAGATACAATAAAACAAACACATTCAGTAGCAATAAGGAGCTCTAAAAAGCTGTCTTTAAATAATCCTTAAAACAGTCCATGTTGGAGAGTCTCTAATTCCCGATGGTAGAGCAGTCCAGAGACGTGGTGCTGAGACTGAAAATGCTCGACCACCCATAGACTTTAATTTATATGGAGGCTGCTGAAGGATGCATGACCTAGAAGAGCGCAGAGAGCGAGCCGGAGTGTGAGAGGTAACTAAACTGCAGAGATAGGCAGTCCCGTGAATAGCTTTATACGTTAAAACCAGTGTTTTGAATTCGATACGTGCTTGTATAGGCAGCCAATGCAAGTACCGGAGAAATATGTTGTCGAGCAGTTGTATGTGTCAATTAGCCGGGCGGCTGAATTTTGAATATATTGTCATTTTTGATGGATCGATTTGGGAGACCAATAGGGCATTGCAATAATCAAGCCCCGACGTAATAAAGGCATGAATAAGCCTTTCTGCATCTGGCAGCGACGGAGTAACAAAGTCATGGCCAGTAATCAAATTTGAACTGTTAAGTTTAAGTAAAGCCGTTGACATACCGACGAATAGAAGTTCTGTTTTTGATTCGTTGAGCTTAAGAAAGTTGTCATGCATCCAGGCTTTAATCTCATCCAAGCAGGTGGAAAGAGCTGTAACTGCAAGGTTTGGATTAGGGTGCATGCTGATATAGATCTGCGTAATGAAACCCCAACCCAAATTTACGAATGATGTCGTCACCCAAAGGCAACATATACATGCTAAATAAGATGGGACCAAGCACAGACCCTTGTGGGACACCCTGCTGAACTAGTGTTGGTATAGATTTGTTTGTTAAGAAGACCGACTAAAGAAATAGGTAATACAAGCTGACATATTCTTTTATTTATTATGCTTTGAGTAAACCACAGATTTGTCAGTGGAAAAGTAATATTTTTCTGTGTTTTCTCATTCTAGCGTAGACAAACGTGTCCCGCACAATTTTGGATATATCCGTGAGGAGATCATCCACAGACCGTCATTCACCCGGCAAAAACGAAATAAAAAAGGTAATACAAGCTGACCTATTCCTTCATTTAAAATGCTGTGAGTAAACTACAATTAATTTCTGTGTGTTTTCTCACATTTTGGGGTCCCGAGCAATTTTGGATCATTATCAGTGATGAGACTACCATCCACCGACCGTCATTCACATTGCAACAACTACAGAAAAAGGCAATACAAGCTGAGATATAAAGGGTAGGCGTATGCATTAACCTCACTTAAAAGGGAAACTGAGAAAACGCCAGTAAAACAAACGATTATCAGATTAAATTAAAGGTTGGACTCGATATAGACATGCAACCAGGAATCGTGTTTTCTGACATTTATATGTGCCTGGTTTTGACGCCAGGGAAATACATACAGCAAATTTGCCTGTGAACGCTTTATATAAATACAATACATGTATGTCTAAATCCGGGTGATCACTCACATCAATGTTATCATCATATCATCCAGCCCTAAAACTTGTATAGTTTTTTTGTCAGTGTTTATTTAAAAACGTCCAATTATTCCGAATATACGATGGTAAATATTTAATTGATGCGTCGTCAATACAATATATAGGGTATGATTTTACCCCTAAATTCAGCACATTGACACAAATGATATCTGCAAATCCAGCGTTCGCTGCCTAGAGTCCCGTTGTTTAATCAGTGGAAGATTAATTCAATTATTTTTCTTCACAGTTCGGCAGACATGTCTGTATGTCCTGTACAATTTTGTATATTTGACACTGAGGAGACTGGCTGACACTCTTTCACAACATTCATGCCTGAGAAGCTTTTGTAAAATAAATGATTTTTCAGTTAATACTGTTAATAATTGCAACCTTTTCTTTCATCATTGCTTGTGTTGTCATTGCAATGTTTTCCCCTACTCGTATATAACTTTATTAATTTGAGTTTAATCAACTTAAATCATTTACGGCAATCAGTTTCCTCAAACCATTTGAGTAGCTAGGCTATATAGTTATTTAGACTTGATTAGATTTATTAAAATAAACTCAAACCAGTTAGTTTAAATTAATGGAATGAACTTAAAATATTCGAGTTACGTTTACTCAAAATGATTGACTAAACCAACACTAAATTATGCGTGAATATGTCTCAATATATAAGTTCACAATACTCATATGTATTTGTTTTTAAACTTAAATGGTTTGAAGCAATCAGTTTCCTCAATCAGTTTGAGTTGAGTTAACTTATTGGGTTTTACAGTGTGTGAAGCAACCATAAAGAGAGGATTGGAGAGTAAAAGCCATTGATTTTAATTGAAAATATCGCATCATCATAACGGTAACAATTGATAGATGTGTTTACAATGCACAATTCCAATGTGAACACTATAATACTGTGCATTACAACTGCAAATTATGCAATTACAAATGGAAAATATGTCATAGGTCCGTTCTGACAGGGCTGTTATTAACTTACTGTAGATATTTTGATGTTGACGTCAAAGGCTGTGCATGCAGACAAACTATTGGCCAATTTTTTTTGTTGTATTTTGTTAAAAATTCATCTTTCACAGAAGCATGGCCAGGCTGAATGACATATTCATCCTCATAAACCATGAACACAATTAAGCAAGGTAAAATACAATAGAACCTAGACTGCATAAAATATGTGTTTAAAGGAGATTAAATATGGTTTGTGCATGTAATATTTGCAGTGAATTAATAGCTGCAATACATCTAAAACCTAATTCAACAAAAAAAATTACAAACCAAACAATCAAATTATAAAGACAAGCCTGTTACATCCATCATGGTCATAACAAATTACCAGTAATAAATTATAAAAAAAAATAAAAATAAAAAAAAAAACATTTCGATGCGTAGTTTGAGGACACTCTTATTTACTTTAGCATGATTCTGATTCTGTTTTAGCCACGGGTCTGTTTGGTTCGTGTTGAATCCACATGTGCCGGATGTGGGCCGGATCTGGGCCGACACTAGTTGCTGTCTGGGTGGAGAGCCCTCGATGTGAAAAGTAAAACCAGGAAATCCTGAAACACCAGCTGAGACCTGTTTAATATTATGTATGTATATTCTATTTATCTGGCCTATTGAATTTATTTAGAGTAATGTTAATCATAATACTTAAATGACAGAGTCTGGTTAGCATTATCCTTAAATGTAAGAGTGAATAAACTTGTAGCTGAGTTAAAATAGATGACCCTCAGTAACAGTGTGTTGAGTGTGATTAATACTGTAACTGTGGTAAACAGGTTAGGATCAGGAATAATCCGCCTCAGGAGAACTGACCTCCGGCATAGGGGTAAGAGGGTTGTTTTCAGCCCACAGACAGGCTTTCTTTTTCTTCAGATCACAATTCCTCTTGTGCTCTCTTCTCAACAATAGTATTATAACCAACACAAGTAAACAAATCAGAGGAATAGTGATTCCCAGTGCTGGTCCTAACGGGTTTGTCTGTTTTACAGAAACACCTGAGAAAACAAATCAAATGTTAGATTGTACTTTTTTTAGAAAAACAAAATATTTGTTGTTTTGTGTATACATTAGATTTATGGTTGAATGTGCTGCAAGTGATTTTTTAAATCATTTAGGGTTAATGTTGTCATGATTTCCTGTATTAGTCATTTATGACTGAAGGGCTTGCCTCGAAATACATATGTGTGCCCATAATGTGTGTGTACTTCTGGGGGATCTTGCGTTAGCTAAGAAACTGGCATTGTGATGAATGAGATTGAAAGCTTTCTCAAGGTTAATAAGATGTCCTTGGGGTTTGCTGACTTTCATTGAAAGTGTCTGTGTCACAGGGGTCAACAAGATGGATGCTGATCCATTAACATCTTCTACTTAGTGTGGTTGAAGAGATGTTGACAGAGGTTAACACTTTACTTGAAGGGGTGTACATAAGACTAACATGACACCTTCATAATCATGACATGACACATGCTATGAATATGAAGGAAGTTGTGTGCATGTTTATGACAACTGTCATTAAGTGTCATTCGCTCAGTTATGACATTTTAATGCAAATATGACATTGTTTGAAATGTCTTTGTTATGACACCTTGACATAAGCAAATACATCATAACCTGTCAGTGTCTTTGTCATGACAACTTGACATTACTAAGACAACACAACCTGTCATAAACATGACATAGCAGATTAATTATCAAACTTAAGAAACCACTTAGCTTTATGGGTTAACATTACATTAAACTGTCAGGTGGTTGGTTTTGACATTGGCTGTCATGAAGCCATTATAACTTTTTAATGAGAAATTCAATGTGTACCACTGTAGTTGAGGTCACGAAAAATATTCATGACATAATGGCCTCATGACAGCCAATGTCAACACCAACCAAACGACAGTTTATTTAATTTGATGTCAAGTTGTCATGACAAAGACACTGACAGGTTATGATGTTATGGTTTATGTCAAGTTGTCATAACAAAGACATCTTAAACAATGTCATATTTGCATTCAAAATGTCATTATTGAGCGAAAGACACTTAATGTCAGTTGTCATAGACTTGCATAAACCCTACTTCATATTCATGTCATGTCATGGTTATGAAGGTGTCATGTCAGTCTTATGCACACCCCTTAAAGTAAAGTGTTACTGTACCTAACAGGGTAATTTAGTGACTAAAGTCTAGTGGAAATTATCAAAAATTGCTCAAATCACTTACAGCAGGGGTTCCCAAACTGTTTTGTCAGACAAACCCCTTAGACATAAAATATTTACTTGAAGTATTTACTTGAAATTCACATGTTCACGGTTCTCTAATGACGGTTAATGGACACATTACATGCAAGTAAACAGATAAAATATGTCATGGTTTTTAGTAATTGATACATTTTTATTGTTGTAATTTTAAAATAATATATAAGGCTGAATAGCTTGGCCAAAAAAATACATTGAGATTATTTAGTCAAATATTGCAATTTTAACTGTGCTTTGGGATATTGGATCCCCTATGAAAATGATGTCGGAGTGTTATATTGCTTCTACTGCTTCCCCCCCCCCCACACACACTTTGAACCTAACATTAAACCCCACATTGTGTTTCCAAATGTTAAAGGCACAGCACATTCAGGGAGTTCATGCGAAGCAGCATTTACTGTGAACTGAGCCGCTCTGAGATGCTGAAAACACTGTATTAATAGCTGTACGTGTGTAAATTAACACAGTGCCACACTTCACTCTGAAATACACAGCGCAACAGACTATATACTTACAGTATTTCATTAAACCACAGTCTTTGATTTCTTAACCACACTATAGCTACACCACAAATTCAGTTGTATTACGATTAATTGTGCAGCCGCATTTATTCATTTTAATTGTACATTCAATTGAATTATTTGCTATTCATTGATCCACAAACCCTCTGCAGTACTCTTGCAAACCCCTAGGGGAAACCCTTGCTTAAAGCACCTTTAAAGTATATTTAGTATAAAGACATGTTAGTTTGTAGGTAGTTACCTTCAGTGTGGACATGGACCGAGAGCTCTCCAGATGTATCTGTAACCAATTTCCTCCAGTTGTCAGCGGTGGGAAGCCACTCCTCTACCTGACAGTAGTATTGCCCCGCATCAGTGGGCTGGATCTGCAGCACAGTCAGTTTGTAGTGTGTGGCATGTGGTCGTCCAAACACCAGTTGTTTATCAACGATTGCACTGTGTAAAATACCGTCACGCTTGGCAGTGAATATAGCGATTGGTCCTTCCTCCTGAACCTTAAACCAGGTGACCTCAAAGGTAGACTTATCACTGGACTGAGAGTCAATGTCACAGTCAACGGTGAACTCAGCCTGATGATTGGTGATGTTGAGCATTCGGTTCTCCTTCTTAACATGCAGTTTACTTTCTGTTTAAATGAAACACAACAGATCAAACAAGAATGAAACAGAATACAGTGACACCATTAAAGACGGGCCTATGTTGATAGCCATAAGCAATATGACAGGGTTTCGTAAGTTATTAATAAGACTACTAATTGACGAAAACTGGATAAGGTGTAAATGGATGTATTACCAATACTGTGAACCGTGACGTTAGTTGAGCCTGATTGGGCTTGTGCCATTAGTTTCCACTGGCCCTCACACTCGAGCTGGTGCTGCTCAACTCTGCACTGGTAGCTTCCACTATCAGCTGTATCTGAGTTTAATACAACCAGATTGAAAGTATTGGAAGTAGGTCTAGAGAAGCGAAGCCTGTCCTTAAGTTGCTTGTTTTCTGTAAGGTACTGTAGACGACCATTATAAGAGTATGACAATAAAGTTATCCCGCTAGTAGATTCCAGGCTATTAAACACCCATTTGAGAGTGTAGTGACGTGTAGGATCCTCTTTTTCTACTTTCAAAGAGCATGCAAGCTCAAACGGCTCTCCTTCTTTGATGTCAAGATACTCTTCAGTCCTGTCCATGGTGAAGCTGTCTGTTTTTTTGCTCTCCGCAGTGTCCACATGGACGGATAGCTCTCCAGACTTGTCTTCGCCAATCTTTCTCCACTTGCTCGCAGCTGTCTGAATCCATTCAGCAACCTGACAATAGTAAAGGCCAGTCTCAGTGGGGTTGATGTTTGGCACAGTCAGCTTATAGTGCATGGCACTTGGGCGTCTAAACACCAGATCTTTGTCATCGATTGCACTGTGTAAGGTTCCGTCACGGCTGGCCTTGAAGATGATGATGGGTCGTTCGTCTCTCTGACCCCTGGACCAAGTCACCTCAAACACAGATACATCACTGGACCGTGAGTCAATGATGCAGTCAACGGTGACCCCCTCTTGCAGATTGGTGATATTGAGGCTTTTGTCCTCCTTGTGCACATGCAGCTTGTTCTCTGATTTAATTTAAGAAAAGAAAAATCAGCATAAATTATCTTCTAAATCAATTTTTTTTATGATTTCAGAACTCTAAATAAAAAAAATATAGAATACTCACCTATAGGCTGAACACTAACATTTGTGTAACCTGACTTGTCGCTTGCCTTAGATGACCATTGACCTTTACAGTCCAGCTGGTACTGATGAACTTGACAGTAGTAGCGCCCCCTGTCCTCCTGGATGGCTCTATGTATAGCCAACTGAAAGACACCCACTGCTGGGCTGGAGAACTGGAGTCGTCCCCCAAACTCTGAGTCAGAGCTGATAAATATCAGACGGCCATCATAACTATAGGTCAGAAGTGTCACACTGGAGGACTGATCTCGGTTAAATAACCAGGAAAGGGAGTAGCGAAGTGTGGAATCAGACCCAATACCCTCCACTGAGCAATTCAACACCAGCTGCTCTCCCTCTTTAACCTTCAGCTGAGTGTTAGCTTTATTCATTCTGAAATCACTGGCTGAAACATAAAAGACAAGTACAACATCAGTAAATGGGTCTTTTTTTGTCTGAATTTCTTATTTTATTAAAAAATTCAAAAATATATATAAATTCATACATGCAACAATTTTAATAAATCTCTTCTGTGATGTTTTAATTTCTGAATTAAAAGTCATTTTGATATGTTAAAAATGTGGTAACAACTTAATCCAAAGCACTTTCATGGCAATTTGTTACTATTTAATGTTTTAGTGAATTGGTGGCTAATTCGTATGAATTTGTTTGATCTCATTCGTACATTTTCGAACAAAATACTTATGTCCCACTGATGATTATGATTAGGGATGGGGTTAGGGGGGAACCTTCTTGCTTACTTTTTTCTAAAAAAAAAAGGGACATTTATTTACAACTTACATTGTACAACTTCGTTCATATGAAATCGCTACATTGTTTAATAGTTATGTTTTCTCATTAGATCGGCTGGCCTGAATCTCATTATATCATAAGAATAAAAAGGTCTAAAATACAGTATATTGTATTATTTCTTTGAAAAAGTCAGTAAAGTAGTTTTGTTAAAATATTAAAATATTGGAAAGACTTTTATTTGACCCAAGTAAAGATCATACAAAGTTCAGTGAAAAGACCATTGCAATGAAGTGTGTGTTATATGGCTTTCCTATAGCTCAAACAGTAGAGCATTGGTGCTTGCCAACACCAAGGTCATGGGTTTGATTCCCATGGAAAGCAAGAACTGATAAGAATGTAAATGTGTAGCTTGAAATGCAATGTAAGTCGCTTTGGATGATGATTGTGTGTGTGTGTTCTTCACCTTTCTCATTGACAACAAGCTCTGTAGAACCAGACATTTTCTTTAGGGAATACCAGTCACCAAGAGGATCCTGGAGCCACTCTTCCACCTCACAGCGATACTGTCCACTGTCAGATGTTCTGACCTGATGGACTGTCAGCTGGAAGGTCTGTTTCTGTCTTACTTCCATGCGGATTCTCTGGTCCATCTCTAGGCCAGCTGCGGGGCCAAACTTGATAACAGCATCTAGGTCCATAGTTAAGAGCATCTGGGAGCCAATCATCCATGTTATCGTGAAACGAGAAGTATTTGTGGTTGTCGTCAAGACTGAGCATTCAATCTTAGCATCAGTGTTGACAGTGGTTTCCAGGCGAGATTTGAGTTTGGACAGGCTCATCCGGCTTACTGTTGGTAAACATTACAAAGTGAGAAGAATAGAGAGAGACATAAATATTCAGTAAATTGCTGAATCTACAGTTATCTAAATGCTTTATAAAAGCAGTGGGATATGATATATTGCAGCTCTGGGAAAGTACATGTACAAATGTTCTGCTATTTAATTTACATGCTTGAAACACACACACACAAAGATGGCATATGTGGTCACATGTGTTTGTTCTGTCTGAGCCGTGGTTAAGTTTCCAGTTCTCTTTTTCAATCATTGTAAAAGCTTTATGTCCTGAAGTGACAACATAAAATACAGTTTAAAACATTTTATAAAGTATCTCATATAGTCCCAGGTTCAGGAAGCTGTCGTCTGTAAAATTCGCAGTACACAAGCTAACTTTTTGGTTTTACTGCCCAAGAACAGCATTACAAATAAATCTTAAAGACTAATTCCTAATTTCATCCCATTTCAGTAGGCCAAGGAACAGGGTTTTGCCTTCGCATGGAAAAACAGCATCTCCAAGACGTGGTGACAACACTACAATTCACTAAATCCTCATCTTCTTTCTTTGTGGATGCTTCTGGCCGGGCATTATGCTAATATTTCACTTTGTGACAGATGTTTGCTGAAGAAATATCTGGACGATGTAATATCAAGGTGTTTTAGGCAGGTCTGTGTCACGGGTGGCTGCTCCTTCAAATGAAGGAGAATACCAGGAAATAGTCTTTAACCCAACAATGATAGCCACAAACACGATACAACCTCTTGATACTGACAAGATCGGACAAAGAACTGAACAAAACAGGGAGTTCTTATACCAGAACTAAACGAGGGAACTAACGAGTTAATTAACAGAACAGGTGAACGGAATCATTAATCAGACACACTGGGAAACTGGGTCAAATGGCAGGCACAGGGAAAACAGAAGATAACCCTGACAGTACGCTCCTCTCTGGAAAGGCGCGTCCTCGCACCATACAAGGTCCAACCGAGAAGGGAGGGAGGGCGGGGGATTTGGAGGAGAACGTGGAAGAGGAGAGGGACAAAAACGGTCAGGGGCAGGTGAAACATTCCATGGGGGAGTGGAGGGAAGGAGGACCCAGGGGGAGCCAGGAGCAGGAGAGGCCACAGCCAGCACGGTGGTCCAAGGTGGGGTCGCAGGAGGAAGGAGCCATGGTGGAGGCCTGGGAGCAGGGAGCAGGGATGCAATCTCCTGCAAAGGAGCCAGTTGTGGGGGAGACCCAGACGGAGCCGAGGACACATGGAGTTAGGGTGACACCACAGGTCTGGAAGGCCAAGGTGGAGCTTGGGAGCTCAGTCTTGAAATCGAGGCAGAGACCCAGAAAACTGCAGTGGAGTCGGAGTGACCGAGGACAATGGTGGCGCCGGAGCCCGGTGGAGCCAAAGGCAAGGAGGGTGGAGGCACAGCCAGAAGACAGGAATCCAGTGGTGGAACCAGGGTGACACCTGACCAGGGCTGAGCCGGGGGACACGGTGAAACTGGTGGGATGAAGGACCATGGTGGAGCTGAGGGAGCATTGAGCCAAGTCCGAGCCGATGGGTCGGAGGACCAGGGTGGAGTCCGGGGCTCTGTGGCTGGAGGCAGAGAAGGGGAATCCTCATGCTGAGACAGAGCTGGGTGCTGGAAGACCTAAGGGCATTGTAGCAATCCCGCGCACCTGGTCAGACATGTCCATGTGCTCAGACTCTGGGCCAAGGTGTGGCTCAGCTTGATGTACTGGCTCGTTGTCCACGGCAGGCTCTGGCTCCAGATCTCCAGTGAAGTTTTGCTGTAGCTCCATCAGGCGGGGTGAAGGCTGGCTGAAATTATAGCCTCCCTCTGGTTCGTTGATGGATCCTTCCTTACTCAATACAATCACAGCAGGGCTTGAACAGAGGTAATTGAAGAAGCGGGAATGTGAGGAATATCTGCACAATACCTGCACGAGTAAGAGATTTTGTTGGGAAGCTGTTGCGCTGGAGCAACCCCACCCGTCCAGTGGCACGACAAGATTTACAGCTGGTAATTTCTTTGGTTGTAGTAAATGGCCAGGCGTTCTTCAGTTCTCCAGGTTGTCCTATGCAATCCACAGTGCCTTCCTGACCATTGAACCATAGTGGTTTCATTTGCCTGTTTGGTGTAGACTTTACATGCAACTATCCCTAAATCTAACCCTACCCTAAATTAATAGTAAGTAAATATTGTCAATTAACATTACCAAATACATATTTGTGTAATTATAAAATAATGTGTGACCAGGTTGGGATATGTTGGGATAGTTAATGACACCTAATGTAACATCAGACTAAACAACTTATATTTGTCTACAAAACTAATTTTAAGCATTTCAGCATAGGCCTTAAGATCAAAAGATATGAGAGTATAAAGACTAATGTGTGTTCAAATGTTTGATGTAGAATGTACCTTCTTAATACAATTATTTAAAAAAAATGCTGTATTTACCAGGTTTTTGTACAGTCACTGCCAACAGGTAGGAGTTCTCCGTGGCTTTCTGTACATTCTTTTGATAGGCATCAGCTTGGCACTGGTATTGTCCTTCTTGTTGCTTGCTGGCTTGTGGGACTATGAGCAAAAAATGTGTGGCTGACGGCTGTGTCTGAATGGACAGCTGATAGTTTCTCCGATCTGCTCCCCAGGCGATTTCTCCAGTGTGGAGTATGGATAAAATATTCCTCTGTACAGTTGAATTGGGCGGCTGAAACATCCAGCGTACAGCCAGAGACACTTTAGGCGCTTTGACTATACATAGTAATTCTACTGGAGAATTTATAGGCACATTTGTTGTACGACTTTTCAAGGTCACCTTCATTAGAGATTCTGAAAAGAAATGTCTGCAGTGATTATTCATACTCTGGTATCAGTAACATGCGGTAGAAATATAAGTAATGACAAAGAATTTATGTCAGCATATCTAGACAGTTTCTCTGATCCTGAGAATAATGTGTGATTATATAGCAGTCTTACCAACAGATTTAACTAAAATGGCTCTTTGCTGAGACTGGGTGTTGGCTTTCGTCATCTCTCCATTGCTCTGTGTGGTCCATTCAGACACAATGCACTTGTATTCGCCTCTGTCAGATGTTGCAGATGCACCGATCTCCAGGGTAAAGTTTCCAGCTGGAGATTGGAGTGTTTGAACATTTCTGCTCTGATACTTTGTCCCAATATCTTTCATCACTCCCTCATGGGTCAGACTAATGACATCACTGAAGGAATCCCCAGAGTCTTTCTTGTGTTGCCATGACACTGATAAAGGACCTTTGGATCCCGACACCGAGCAGGAGACCTGTAGTGTATCTCCCTCAGTCACAGCATCCTCCATCACCATGACCAGCGTCAGATCACTCTCTGACCAGACGGGCAAATAAACAGGCAATGTTAGTGTCTTGTCATGCAATAACATATAATTGAGTTATTTATTTGTATCTGTGTATTTATATATTTGTTATAAATAATAATTATATTTATCATTACATGGTAGATATCCAGGATGTTCTTTACATAAAGAAAATGTACACAATTTGACCGTGGAAATGACCAGAACACCTAAGCAACTGAATTGCAACACAATAAAGTCCACTTGACTGTAGAGGAGAAACACTGTAGCATTATTTACCTTTGGCCATGATGTTCACAGTCTCTGGACTGGACAGTTGTTTTTGTATTTTTCTGAAGGTGCCATCATCATTTATGTCTTCCTGCCAGACTTCACACTGGTATTCGCCCTGGTCTTCAGCCCTAGCCGAACGGATGGTCAGCAAGTAGTCCGTGCGACTGGTTTTCACTGCTCTCATCTCCGCTGCATTCTCTCTCTCTTTATAACTGTCAAACACGGTGAGCATCCCAGAAGATCCAATCTGAGCCACGCTCTTCTGGTTCTTCAGCCAGGTCACAGAAAATAAATGACCAGGAAGACTCAGTGCCTTCACACTGCAGTGGATGTCCAGTGCATCTCCCACCTGTAGGGGCCCCAATGAGGCCTTCATGTAGACACTGAACGAACCTTCATCAGGGGCCACTTATGAAACAGGAAAAAGCATGAGATGTACAAGGTTCTCTTACACAGTTACACAATTTCATAACTAGGTGTAAAGTCTGGGTACTGAAGCAAAACCATTTGAGAAACTCTTAATACCAAAATATAAATCTTACCAATTTGTTTGACCTCCACGTTACATGCTGTGCTGGTTTTGTGGGCAATCTGTGTCCAGGAACGGTCTGGGTCTTGGATCCACTCACTGGCTTTGCAGTAGATGTTCCCCTGGTCAGACTGCTGAACTTGCGACATCTTCAGTCTGTAGGTTGTGTCCTCCACCTTATCCATGCTGATAAGACCTGCGTGGTAGCGATCCTCAAATCCAGCTCCTGGCTTTACAGTCAGATCTTTGTCCAGAGTGATGATTGGTCGGGGGTTCTCATCCGCTCCACTGTGGAGAAACCAGCTGACCGACAGATGGGTGTGCTGATAAGTCTCGCTGGAGACCTGGCACTCAAGCTGAAGAGGATCACCTTCAGACAAGCTCTGAGAGTAAGAGCCAGAGTACGATGCCTTCAGGGTGTCCTCAATCACTGTGGATTTTGTATTGAAAACATTAGTAACAACGAGTGGTCGACCAATATGTGTTTGTCAATGCCAATACCAATATCTAGAGAGTAACTGATGGCTGATATAATAGTGATTCAAATAAGTATATGTACAACGTTAGCTTATAGCTGATCATCTTCTGTTGGGATGAATGCAAATGTCAATGGATGCTAACAGATGGATCTCTCTAGATATAGATCTGCCTATGACAGGTCAATAATCTCAAATTGGCCAAATCATCTGATTAATCACCAAAACACTCAAGATAAAGAAATATCTTACCATTAAGTTTTGTTTCCGCTTCATAACTTCCAAAATATGTGGGATCAGTGGTTGGGGTTTGACAGAAGATATCACCCGCATCCCCTTCAAGCAAATTTTTGATCCTCAAGATAACTGAAGATCCTGACAACCTCTCAATCTCAATATCTTTTACACTTACTCTATTGGAGAATATTGCATAGGCAAAGTCCTGCTCTTTAGTACTGATGATATTTATATCCATGTTTGATGGCCTGACCTTAAATTCAAAATCCTGCAGAGATGGGCCTTTAAACCCACTAACATTACAGGATATGGAGATGGGATATCCTTTCACTCTATACAGAGGACCTTCCTGGATCTGGACCAGACGCTGACCGTAGCACAGATCTGTGTGGAGAGATGCATTAGACAGGCATACCTTAAATATTTCACCCAAAATTTGCATTTTGTCATCATTTACTCTCCCCAGTGTTGTTGCAAACATGTATGACTAACTTTCATTTTTTGGTTGTTTTTTTCATTCACACTGCTCTTTTCCATAGTCATCTTCATTCATATAGCTCTTTTAACAAAGTAGATTGTTCCAAAGCGGCTTTACAGTGATAATAAGAAATTAAAGTAACAGAGATTGTTTTGGTTTTATAGCAGCTCTAGAATAGAAAAAGTTATTTTCCAGCTAAAGTTAGTTTTGATTGATCATTCAGCAATGTGAATGGGGGCTTGCCAAATGAGGAAGACAAGCCAATGCACTCACTGGAAGGGACAGCACTTTCCATAGGGATCCCAATACATCAGTTCAGTCCGACGTAGCGTTGAACGTGACTGACTGACAGGGAACGTCTAGGTTACTAATGTAACCACTGTTCCCTGAAGGGGTAAACGGAGACATTACTCCTTTACCTCCGCTGGAACTCAGTCTGTGCTCCTCAGCGAGAAACTTAAAAGTGAACCATGCACTATATATCCTATAAATCAACTGAACCCATATGATAGATTTGTGTGACCCATAGGCGTAGCCACGGGTGTGCCGGTGCCATCCACAGTGGCAGCTGGCACACCTGAAAAAAGATGCAGAATTATTTTTCAAAGTCTTGATAAAAAATACTTGGCCTATTGTTGTTTACTTACAATTCATTTGTTCGTTTAATATGTAATTTAATTTTTAAATTATTATCGTTAAAAAAATATCTGCCGACATTCGGACTGCTAACCAATACGGTTGTGCTGTTGAGGCTCGAGTCTTATGAGGAGAAATGGAAACAAATGAGTGGGGCTCACACACAGAAACTGAATGAACATACAGGGGTAAAAATTCATGTGGAGTTTTTATAACATATGATATGATACAGTTAAGCAACATCACACGACCCTGAGTTATATTTTATATAGTATTATGGTTATGTGGCGAGCCGGAGTATAGTTTTACACATCAGCCCAGTCTATTCTGTAAAGTTAGTGATACACTGAATCTGTTTTTTATTTTTTTTGCACATTAATCTGGCAAAAAAACGTGGCACACCCAGTTTTTCTTATGCACACCCAGAGACTCTTTTCTGGCTACGCTAGTGGTGTGACAGCATTAGTTCTCTCTCATTTTGTCACACAGGAACACTGAATATGTAGAAGTGCAAAATAAGATTTAAGAGTGATTTTATTTTTGTAAATATCACTTAAATAGCACAAAGCTATTGTTTAGATTCAGAAGAGGTTGAATATATATATATATATCGCATAAAGCTGTGTAACTTTATGGTTTTCATTTGTCATTTTTAGACTTGTAAGTCGTCACCATCCACGTTCATTGTATTAAAAAAAGTACAGCTTGGATATTTGGAAATGTTTTCGTTCCACATTGCATTCCACATCTACTTATTATGTTGATTTTGTATTGCAATACACTTGTGCTGTTATCGAGGTGGGATACGGGTAAGGTTAGGACCGGTTTCGTATGAGTATGGGTAGGTTTAAGGGTGGGTTAAGGTCTAAGATAAGTGTAATTATTGATGTAAATATAGATATTAATTACAGCTGTAATTACATTTAGATATTTTTTTAAACATAAGTACCATGTAAAAACATGTATGCAAATTATAAATTCAGTCTATATATTTGAATATATAATGAGGTGATGTTCAGTCTTACCCCCCTGCAGGAGTCCTGTGAGACACAGCACCAGCGTCAGGTGCCACAGCCGGCACCCGAAGTCCAACATCCTTAATCTGATCGATCCTTTCGCTTTCTCTCTCATCTTCTCAGTTCAAGTTAATCCAGGTTTCAGCAAGAGAACCTAAACCTGATACATGTTCTCTGACGCAAGTGACTGTGACACATCAGATAAAAAGGAGGAAACGAATGTACTGAATATTGGTTTCCTGTTGTCTCGCACCACTCTTCACACTTGCTTCATTTCCCTCGCTGCATATGTGACCAGTGCATTATAACAGACCAGCAGTCTATATGGAGCAAGACTGATATAATACACTGACTGAAAATCTGCAGTTTTGTGCTATTTCTTTTTTCAAAGTGGTGCATAGAGAGGAGAGTCAAACTTGTCTGTGTAAATTACTTACTGTAAAATGACTTACCTTACCACTGTCATTTGCTTATTACTGCGATTGTTTCATGCGAGGTACAGGTTGCTGGTAGCCTGGGAAAACCCAGACAACTTCCGGCAGATTTAGATTTGCTCTGAAAGTTAGTCTGGCAAAGAGCTCATTCAAGCTCATTTCCAATCCGCCGAAATCGCGGCACCAATCAGAAACGTTGGGGCGGGCTTTACACGATGACGACAGCGCTGGGATTTTGAAGCAGATTTTGTAGCCTACATTACAAAGATGGATGCCGCCGTCGAACATCACTCGTTCCAATCAGCTATCGCGTCTGTTTTAAGCCATTTGAACGTTTCGTTTTTGTTAAAAACCGAGCAAAGAACAACACTCGGAGATGTGTCTCCGCCGCTCTGCATACGTCATCTCCTTCATCGCTCTGATTGGGTTTAGGTCTATCCGCGACGTCCGTTGGTGACGCCCCTCTGGAAATGATTTGTCTATGACGCTTTGCCAGACCATAACTCAGTTACAACTGAGAATGGTCTGGTTTTAACCAGGCTAGGTTGCTGGGAGAGAGGGACTGAAATTATCTGGCCATTGACAACCTGATTGCCCAATAACAGCAGGAAAGGAAATGCGCAAAAATCGGCGTACTTGTATAACCATGTATACAGGTAGCCTATTCTGATGCCTGTACGCGCATATAACCATCATATTTGTAAAGACCTTAAATTGAATTGGATTTGCATGTAAAATACGCTAGTGTCAGGATTATGTTTAGTTTTCTTTGTTTTTTTTATTCCCTGTCCCATGTTTCCTTAATTTCTTGTTGCTAGTTTGTCTCCATGGCTTCTGATTGAGTTACCCACCTGTTTCTTGTTCCGTTAATTATCCCTGTGTGTATTTAAACGCTCAGTTCCCTATCAGTCAGTCACGTTCGACGTTACGTCAGACTGAACTGACGTATTGGGATCTTGCCTGAGAGCCCAATCACCTTCGAGTGGTACAAAACAAGCCAATGCATTTGCTGGAAGTTGTGGCACTTTCCATAGGGATCCCAATACATCAGTTCAGTCCAACATAGCGTTGAACGTGACTGACTGATAGGGAACATCTAGGTTAATAATGTAACCACTGTTCCCTGAAGGGGTGAACGGAGACATTGGTCCTGTACCTCCGCTGGAACCCCGTCTCGGCTCCTCAGCGAGAAACTTAATGTGAGTGTTTGCACGCTGCAACTCTCAGGCGAGATCCCAATGTCAGTCCGACGTAACGTCTCCGTTCCCTCCTTCAGGGAATGGGGGTTACATTAGTAACCTAGACGTTCTTTCTGGTTATTGTTCAGTGACGTCTATAGTTTTTTATAGGTTTGCTCTGTTTCCTTGGATATCTCCTAAATGTTAAGAATTATAAACACTGTTATGTGTTTTTTGAAGTTATGAAGAAATTATGAAGACTGTTCATTATGCTACTCCTTTGTCGTGCAGACCACTCATGACAGAGCACTGAACCCAAAGAAAGAGATAAGAGAAAAAAACATGGACTTCCCAGCTGTTCATCTGCTCTGCTTGAATCAGGCAGAACACATGAAAGACTTTTTAGACCTGGCGTGCCTTACTCACTTCTGGCTCCCTCTGTGTGTTTTTCCAGACCGGTTTGAATGAGCGTACTAAGGCATGCCTGCCCGGAGACAACAGTGGGTGCTGGTCCAGTGTGGATCTTCCTTTACCGTGTTCAATAATGAAGTGAACACCGCCAGCCCCACTACGGACCCAGAGCCCAGCCAGACGCCAGCCATGCCCACCACAGAGCAAAAGCCTGGATCCACACTATACTGGGAGACCGAGCCCGCGAAGACAGCAGTGCCAGAGAGTACTGAGGCCATTTTCATCCTAGAGCCCGAGGCCCCACAGAGAGAAGGACCAGGTGCATGAGCCAGCAACAACGTCCCTCGAGGTGGACGTATTAGTGGAGTATGAAGGCATGGAGTGGAGCCTCGCCACACTTCTGCTGCTGAGTGTAAGCATTTCATTTAGGGCCCTTGCACACAATTCGCGTCCGAAATTTTCGCACGTTAAAAAATAAATACGACCTCACGTTATGTCAATCACGCTTGCACACTGCCTCCAAAACTTTCGTTCATCATAAAAAAAATTGAATCGGGCTCGATTTTCTGCGTTTTTCGCATCCGTAGCAAGCAGATTGAATGGTGTTTGAATGGTGTTTGGACAATTCAGAGCCACCGAATCACGAATACGAAAAAACGCATACGAAATTTTCGGACTCAGTGTGCAAGGGCCTTTAAAGTAGTTTTGAATATTTGAAAAACACACTAAAATTTAACATGGTTGAACATCAAATCATGGTTTAAATAATTTCCCAGTGGAGTTGAAATGACAGAGAACATTACTGGTGAGGTTTTGACTGTTTCAGATATTCACTTCGCCGTTCAGTCCTGCTTAAAGTGCTTGAGGAAGCATATTTGTGCCGCTGTGTGTAAGACACTGGTCAGTTTACAATTGGATAAAATAACCACAGACAAGCAGACGCCAGTGTCTCTTACTCTATTATTTTAGTGAATTGCAGCTTTGCCTAGTGCCTCGTGTCTATTTTGGCCGAAGTATAGGCAAATGTGTCTCAAACTCTTTTCACTAACACCTTTTTTGCTCTCTGTACCTGGGAACATTTACTGTGGATCTCTTAGATTGGTCTTTGATGTGCCAGGATATTAGAGTAATTGATGGATTGAAAAATATATGATAACCTTGTCTCAAAAACAGGTAAATCTTAACACTTTTCCTGCCATTGACGGAAATTTCTGGCTTTCCATGTTTTCACTGTTATACGGTAGGGGGCGCTATGACATCTTCTGAAAGAGTACTGAATCTCAAGATCAGAAGACATGTGAAGAAGAAGCTGAAACAAGATAGCATATATAAGCAGATGCATATGTAAAATATGAATGAATGTGACAAAGAGTCCAATCTAAGAGATCCACAGTAGAAGTGTTCCAAAAAAGGTGTTAGTGAAAAGAGTTTGAGACACATTTGCCTATACTTCGGGCAAAATAGACACCATGCACTAGGCAAAGCTGAAATTCACTAAAATAATATAGTAAGAGACACTGGCGTCTGCTTGTCTGTGGTTATTTTATCCAATTGTAAACTGACCAGTGTCTTACACACAGCGGCACAAATATGCTTCCTCAAGCACTTTAAGCAGGACTGAACGGCGAAGTGAATATCTGAAAGTTAAAACCTCACCAGTAATAATCTCTGTCATTCTGTCAACTCCACTGGGAAATTATTTAAACCAGATTTGATGTTCAACCATGTTCAATTTTACAGTGTTTTTCAAATATTCAAAATTACTCTAAATGATATGCTTATATTTTGATATATTAGAGAAATGTAGGAAATTATCAATCATATCTTTACTTAAGACACGTGTACTGTACTAAATCCTCACATTTCTGCCTGCGTCTCATGAACAGAAACCGCTGTGTTGAGCTATTATACAGAGGAAGAACATAGTGTGATCTCAGAGTGCTGAGCTTGACCACAATGTGAATGAGAATATAAATATAACAAGAAAAGGAAACGCTGATAAGAAAACCTGCGGCTGTGTAACTGCATGCTGTGCTCACCCCAGCCATTAAACTAACATTACTTTCCACAATAAGTCTATTGTTCTGGTGTCATTACACCTAGCATGGGTGTTGAAGCACTGAATGAAGCATTGAAGGAATCACTCTCTCCAGTGAGATATTGTTAGGACGCCCTCTTGTGGCTCAAACACTTCCAAACTGATAAAAAACAAAACAAACAAAAAAACATTCAGAATAAATCACTGAATCAAGTCTGTCAATCTGTGTGACAACGTCTTTCTTGGTCTCGGACACACACCATTTCCAGCCCTGATTATTCATTCACACAATAGCTAAAATATATTATATTCATAATTTTGTATGTTTTACATAACATAACATGACGCATCTTAAAAGTAATAGTAAATTCATTCTTACAACAATCAATAAAATTGATTCAACCCCCCTGATCTGTAAGTTTGTCTAGAGAACAAATTTTTTTGAAAACCCATCAACTAAACATAATAAACATTGTAGAAATTTGAATACATATTTTCAAAGGTATGTAAAACTGGAGACTGTCGGTGTTACCTGAGGTAAGCTTTGGTAGATTTGGTTGTATATTAGGATCATTGTTCTGCTGGAAAGTCCAATGATCATCAAGCTTCAGTTTACACAATAAAAGCATAATTTATCATAATTTTGGCCAAAAATGGCCTGATACTTCAAAGAATCCATCATGCTGGTCACATGGCCAAGATTTTCAATTTGGGCAAGGGGCAAGAATCGAGACAAACAATTAGCAGATATAGACATCAAACAATAATACAGTAAAATAATAAATATTTTGACAGAGGAACATAAAGTTCTATTTTGTTTTTTAAAGATATTTGTGCCAGACATACTGATGATCCATCAGACCAAAACGTTCCCAATGGCTTAATTATGTTTTATCACAATTTTATTACATCATATATTGACATTATCTCTTTCAGTATCCCGCTTAACTGATATGTATTTTATTAATAAATTAATAAATAAATACATTTGGACCTTCATTAAAGCTTACATCTGTAAATTGTTACTCTTTTAAATCCTCGAGTATTTTAAACAGCGCCATCTGCTGGCTGGTAAAATGCCTTTTTTTTGGCACCTCATTTCTTAAATAAGTAGATAAGCCTAAGTAAAAATGGTCACCAAAC